TTTTATCCATTTTTTTAACCCGTTTTCCTCCTTTTTTCCCTCGATTGAAACCATTGGTGAAACTCAAAAAAGCTCCCACTGAAATATTTGGGGGGTTAATCTTTAAATTAAGCCCAAATTGGGTTAAAATGCACATTTTTGGCGCTTCTGCTTTTTACCTCTTTCCTCCCTTTTTTTTTTCATCCCCGAGGGTTCGTTTTTATGGCGGTTTTTCACCAAAAAGAGGCTTTTTCAACCCAAATCCCCATCTGGGATGTCCTCTCTTCCCACCCCAGCCCTTTCCATCCCCAAAATCGGGCTAAAATCCCCTTTTTTGACTTAATTTCACTCGACAAATTTAAGGCAAAACCCAGCTCGGTGTGAAAATCGGGTTTAAATGGGTTTTTTTTAAAAGATTTGGTGTTTTTCACCCCAAAAAAAGTGCTGGAGCTTCCTTGATCTTCCAGCCAATCTCTGCCGGAGCCGCTGCTTGACCCCCACATTTTGCCCCACTCCCTAAATCCCCCTTTTTCACCCCATTTTTACCCAATCCCTACGATTCCAAACCACGACTCCTTCCTCCCTGTGGAGGTGTTGGGTTTTTTCCATAAAAACCCACCAAAATGGGCAAACTGGGAATGTTTCAACCCCTAAAGGTTTCCATCCACCCGTGATGGTCTCTTCCACCCCAAAATTGGGCTAAAATCCCATTTTTTTGACTAATTAACTCAACTAATTTAGGGAAAAAGGGAGGACGCTGCGCTTTGACCCGGCTGGATGTGAAAATTGTGCGTTTTTTTTTAAGGGAATTAAGCAAATTCAGAGAATTTCAGAATTTTAGGGGTTGGAAGGGACCTTCTGGGGTCACCTCACCCAATGTCCTGCCCCTCGGGGTCACCTGGGGCCAGGGAAGGGAGGACAAGGGGGTGCCCACGTCCCTCAGCCCCACGTCCCTCAGCCCCACATCTCCCCCACATTTCTATGGGGCCTAAATCCCTCCATGGGCAGCCTCTTCCAACTCTTGAGAACCCTTTGGGTGAAGAAGCTTCTCCCAGTATCCAAATGGGGTCGTTGTGGTTGGAGAAGACCTTGAAGACCTTCAAGGCCAACCATTGACCTCATTGGGTTGGGACGTTGTTGGATTGGACGTCGTTGGGTCGGACGTTGTTGGGTTTGAGGTTGTTGGATGGGACGTTGTTGGGTTGAACATCATTGGGTTGGACATCGTTGGGTTGAACCTCGTCGGGTTGAACCTCATCAGGTTGAACGTTGTTGGGTGGGAGAGCATTGGGTTGGAGGTTGTTGGGTTGGACCTTGTTGGGTTGGATGTCATTGGGTTGGGATATTGTTGGGTGGGATGTTGTCGGGTTGGATGTCGTCGGGTTGAACATCATTGGTTGGGACCTTGTTGGGTTGGGCATCGTTGGGTTGGACGTCGTTGGGTTGATCATTGTTGGGTTGGACGTCATTGAGTTGAACCTTGTTGGGTTGGTCGTTGTTGGGTTGAACCTCCTTGGGTTGGATGTTGTTGGGTTTGAGGTTGTTGCGTTGAATGTTGCCGTTGGGTTGGACATCATCAGGTTGAACATCGTTGGGTTGAACCTCATTGGGTTTAATCTCGTTGGGTTGGACGTCGTTGGGTTGGACGTCGTTGGGTTGGACGTTGTTGGGTTGAATCTCATTTGGTTGAACCTTGTTGGGTTGGATGTTGTTGGGTTGAATGTTGTCGTTGGGTTGGACTTCGTTGGGTTGGTGGTCATCGGGTTGGACGTCGTTGGGTTGGACATCGTTGGGTTGGCCATCATTGGGTGGGATGTCATTGGGTTGAACCTTGTTGGGTTGGCCATCGTTGGGTTGGACATGGTTGGTTTGAGGTCGTTGGGTTGGCCGTCGTTGGGTTGGATGTCATTGGGTTGGACGTCGTTGGATTGGGACATCGTTGGGTTGAACCTCGTTGGTCGGGACATCGTTGGGTTGGAGGTCGTTGGGTTGGAGGTCATTGGGTTGGAGGTCATTGGGTTGGACCTTGTTGGGTTGGACCTTGTTGGGTTTGAGGTCGTTGGGTTGATCATCGTTGGGTTGAACCTCGTTGGGTTGATCATCGTTGGGTTGAACCACGTTGGTTAGGACCTTGTTGGGTTGGACGTCGTTGGGTTGGACATTGTTTGGTTGGACCTCGTTAGGTTTGAGGTTGTTGGGTTTGAGATCATTGGTTGGACGTCGTTGGTTGGACGTTGTTGGGTTGGACATCATTGGGTTGAACCTTCTTGGGTTGGACGTCGTTGGGTTGGACATTGTTGGGTTTGAGGTCATTGGGTTGGGACGTCATTGGGTTGGGTTGGGACCGTGTTGGGTTAGACGTCATTGGGTTTGAGGTTGTTGTGTTGATCATCGTTGGGTTGAATCTCATTGGTTAGGACCTTTTTGGGTTGGACATTGTTGGGTTTGACGTCGTTGGGTTGGGACGTCGTTGGGTTGGACATTGTTGGATTGGACATCATTTGGTTTGAGGTCGTTGGGTTGGAGGTCATTGGGTTGGACATCATTGGGTTTGAGGTCTTTGGGTTTGAGGTCCTTGGGTTGGGATGTCGTTGGGTTTGAGGTCATTGGGTTGGACATTGTTGGGTTGGACATTGTCATTGGGTTGGACATCGTTGGGTTGGACATCGTTGGGTTGGGCCTTGTTGGGTTTGAGGTCATTGGTTGGGACCTCGTTGGGTTGGATGTCATTGGTTGGGCGTCGTTGGGTTTGAGGACATTGGGTTGGGGCCTTGTTGGGTTGGACCTTGTTAGGTTGGACGTCGTTGGGTTTGAGGTCATTGGGTTGGACGTTGTTGGTTTGGACATCGTTGGGTTGATCATCGTTGGGTTTGAGGTCATTGGGTTGAACCTGGTTGGGTTGATCATCATTGGGTTGAACCTCATTGGTTGGGACCCCATTGGGTTGGACCTTGTTGGGTTGGACCTTGTTGGGTTGGACCTCGTTAGGTTTGAGGTTGTTGGGTTTGAGGTTGTTGGGTTTGAGGTCATTGGTTGGACGTTGTTGGTTGGACGCTGTTGGGTTGGACATCATTGGGGTGAACCTTCTTGGGTTGGACGTCGTTGGGTTGGACATTGGTGGATTTGAGGTCATTGGGTTGGGACATCATTGGGTTGGGTTGGGACCGTGTTGGGTTGGACGTCATTGGGTTTGAGGTTGTTGGGTTGATCATCGTTGGGTTGAACCTCATTGGTTGGGACCTTGTTGGGTTGATCATCGTTGGGTTTGAGGTCCTTGGGTTGGACATCGTTGGGTTGAACCTCGTTGGGTTGGGACGTTGTTGGGTTGATCATCGTTGGGTTTGAGGTCTTTGGGTTGGGACATCGTTGGGTTTGAGGTTGTTGGGTTGATCATTGTTGGGTTGAACCTCATTGGTTGGGACATCGTTGGGTTGATCATCGTTGGGTTGATCATCATTGGGTTGATCATCGTTGGGTCGATCATCGTTGGGTTGAACCTCATTGGTTGGGACCTTGTTGGGTTGGACATCGTTGGGTTGGACATCGTTGGGTTGGACATCATTGGGTTGATCATCGTTGGGTTGATCATCATTGGGTTCCTCTTCACCGAACCCTTGGACCTCTCCTCCATCCCGGTGCCTCACCCAGTCCTCCCAGTTTGGTGCCCCAGTAAAACCCCCCGAAGCTCCGGTCTCTCCCATCCCCCAGTTCCTCCATGAAGATGTTTCCTTCTCCCAGTGCTCCCAGTTCTCCAACTGGACCCTCCAAAATTCCGCTCATTTAACTCAATTTAGGGTCAAAATTGGACATCATTGGGTTGGGTTGGGACCGTGTTGGGTTGGACGTCATTGGGTTTGAGGTTGTTGGGTTGATCATTAAAACGTTGAACCTCGTTGGGTTGGGACGTTGTTGGGTTGATCATCGTTGGGTCGATCATCGTTGGGTTTGAGGTCCTTGGGTTGGACATCGTTGGGTTGAACCTCGTTGGGTTGGGACGTTGTTGGGTTGATCATCGTTGGGTTTGAGGTCTTTGGGTTGGGACATCGTTGGGTTTGAGGTTGTTGGGTTGATCATTGTTGGGTTGAACCTCATTGGTTGGGACATCGTTGGGTTGATCATCGTTGGGTTGATCATCATTGGGTTGATCATCGTTGGGTCGATCATCGTTGGGTTGAACCTCATTGGTTGGGACCTTGTTGGGTTGGACATCGTTGGGTTGGACATCGTTGGGTTGGACATCATTGGGTTGATCATCGTTGGGTTGATCATCATTGGGTTCCTCTTCACCGAACCCTTGGACCTCTCCTCCATCCCGGTGCCTCACCCAGTCCTCCCAGTTTGGTGCCCCAGTAAAACCCCCCGAAGCTCCGGTCTCTCCCATCCCCCAGTTCCTCCATGATGTTTCCCCCTCCCAGTGCTCCCAGTTCTCCAACTGGACCCTCCAAAATTCTGCTCATTTAACTCAATTTAGGGTCAAAATTGGGCATTTAAATCAATTTAGGGCCAAAATTGGGCATTTAACTCAATTTAGGGCCAAAATTGGGCTTAGATGGGGCAGTTTTGGGCAACATCTCCAATTTTGAGGAAACATCTCAGGGGGCTTCAAATTCCTTCATTTTTGTTGCGTTTTCTGCTAAAATAAGGGGATTTTGGGGGGGTTTGGGTCGTTTTAAGGTTGGGGGGTGACTCCGGTGTTTGTTTTTTCCAGCTGAGCCCCCAAATCCGTGCAGATTGGCCCCGTTTTTGGGGTGGGGGAGGGGAGGATGGCGTCCAGCCCCG